GAATTAACTATGATACGTGATTTTCTTGTTAAGCACAATGGACTATCTATTATCTATCCATCGAAACCCGATTTTTTGCGTTGTTAGCCTTCATACTTAACGCTAAGCCACGAAAGGGGGGGGGTCGATAGAAACAATAGATGAATACAGTATTCGGTTTTCCAAAAGAGTGTTTTTAATACGTGTCTATTCATTTTAAAATGTTCTTGTTTTAATAATTCAATTTCCTTGAACGACGTCATCTTGTTTAAATGGTAACTGCGAGTCATTATGGTAGAAAAAGCTCAACTACTATAATGAGACTGTTGCTGTAGTTTTACAATTGGCTAATTATACCCCTTGGTTCACCTAATTTTCTTTCTTTGTTTCTAAAAAGTTTTAGCTTAAATTATATAAATATTAAATTACTATTACTAGAACATCTTGCTGACAAGGGACTGAAAGTGTTTAAAACTGTTTTGTTTACGTTTCAAGTGATAGTTGATAGTTTAATTATTCTAGCAAGACGGTTTTGGCACACAACAAATCTATATTCTTCCTATAAATGTGAAGTGTTATAACGAACAAAGGAGTTTATTCACGTCAAAGACACTGCCAACAAAGGCGTTCCGTAATCAATGAACAAAAAAAAGTGTAAGTTCAAATTGTTCATCAAAACAAATATATATATAAACTTTAGTTACTTAAAAATGTATGGTATTCTTATTTTCCTTCCAGTAACTTTGGCATTTCTGAAATCCTGTTGCATTATTTCACTAATATGATATTTTCCCCCTATGTACCCTTTTAAAGTGGGATTGTGTGCTTTGAATGGACGATAATCTTATGAAATATTGTATTTTTAATGGTTTTGGGCATAATTGATTTGTGAAATTATCAAACGCATGCGTATACTTTTGCTCGCGTGGCTATTGGTATCGCTAACGCAGAAATAAGTTTTCAGATGGTATCACTTACTAAACAAACAGCGCCGCCTGTTGGCTTGTGTTGCTTTTTTCTAAAGGATTTGATTTTTTTTTAATCATCCATGTGAAAAAATGGCCAATATGATTGAAGTTTCAAAGCGGAAAGAAATATATAAGTATAAAGAAGCATAACGAAATAAATAACAATGTAATTTCTTGATAAACAGTATACATGATTTATATACCATACTATATTTACTATATTTATAGATTAACCATACTATAAATAAACAGGATAACCTCGATAAAACATATTTTTGGTAATTCCATGAGTAAATTACAGAAAACCAAGGTTGAAGGCTAGCTGAGAGTCTCTGCTTCGTACCCATAATGTCTCTAAGGTAATAAAAAGGGTAGAAAATGCCCTTAAAAAACCTTATCAATATTTTGAATACACTGATTAAGCCCATCTTGAAATAGGGATGTACACAATTATACGCACGTCGATTTGTTTCCCAATACAAAAAGAAAGAGGGACAAATTTTGTATATAATTAAAACGCATAGGCTTATCAGAACGTGAGATAGAGAGGGAATGTTGTCCGTCAGGTTGAAGACTTTTTCTCAAGAAGTTGACTGGCATGACTAGTGGTTAGCGGACTTGTCTGCTGGTCAAGGGTTCGAGACGAAATGTCTCTTGTTGAACACGCTTCGTATTTTAAGCTCTGAGAGCATTATAAAAGTGACAGTCATTTTCAATATTTACCTCAAATATCCAAACAACGCCCTTGTACCTCACTGAATAGCAGTTCAAATGGCAAGGAAATAAGCAGTTTTAATTATTCTAGTTCTATAAACAAACCGATTATCCCAGACTTTGCTGGTATGAGAATTAAACTAACATTATATTTCTCGTTGTTAGTGCCACGTTGTTCTTAAAAGATAAGAAGTTAATACAATGACATGCGTTTATTGTTTGCTATTGGTTTATGCGTGGGTGATGTTCAGTGATAAGGGTATTTATTTACTAGATACATTAAATATGTTTGTTTAAATTTCGAGCAAAGCTACTCAAGTGCTACTCGCGTTAGTCGTCCCTAATTTAGAAGTGATAGACTAGATAGAAATCAGCTAGTCACACAACCCACCGCCAACTATTAGACTAATTCTTACTAACGAAAAGTGAGATTAACCATAACATAATAACGCCTCACGGCTAAAAGAGCGAGTACGTTCAGTGACAGCATTTGAACTCGCGACCTGTATATTGTTCTCAACTACCAGGCCGTGCCAGACCAGTTAAGTATGATATTTCTTTGTTTTAAACAAGTTATACAATGCTTTCACCTGACAATTATATTTTATTCCTCACTGTTCCAGCAACGGAAAGATCTAATAACAATAGTATTCAAATAGCATTTTTTACGTATATCACTTAAAACGGAAACCAAAGACTCCTTGCTGTACTAAAATATCACACTCACTGATCATACAAATTATGTATGTATATGTCTTACAGTTTGTGCGTTTCTACCAATAATTTACAAATCTCAGCCAATAATATCGATTGGCTACTGAAATGTCTAGCGTCTAAGCCAATAACATCGAGTTGCTGAAATATATAAATATTTCAACTAAAGATCTCGCTGCGCTTTGAAATACTTACATTTTATAATCAAATATCTCACTGCACTGCTGCGAAAAACCACATTAAAAACTGACTTATTCTTGAAAAAACACTCAAAATCTTCCTTTTCAATAATTAAGACCCCCTAAAAATTCATAATAAGGAAAATAAGTGATTTCATGACTGTTAGACAAAATCAAACGTTGCCCATTTCTTCATATTATTATTATTAATTTTTCACAAGCCTACAGCAAACTCGGCTGGGTAGTTTGCACCAAAATCTGTACAGGTATACTGTATGGAACGCTAAGAATGTCTACGACATATTTAAAAGTTAATTATTTTTCATTGAAAGTTGATTTACATGGTTATAAGTAGATAATAGATGTGATGTTGTTCTGAGCAGCTGCTTTTGTACTCGACGCGTGTTAAACGCGTGTTTACATAAAACCTCAGGCACAAAGCCATCTGGCTCAGTAAATAATTACTTTAAAAGACACGAAGCTTTATTTAAAGCGAGGTTTTAGATAAGTACCGTAGACATAGAGTCAAAATGGGGATTTGTAGCTTGAGAAACTAGTGTAGACGTTATTTCCAGCCATGTGTGAGTCCCTAGTTGTAGGCTTGGTCTTTACATTTTGATTCAACTTGTTTTTGTACTTTTTTGACGATACCTATTTCTCCCTTTTTAAATTAACAATTCTTACTAATCTTGTTTTATTAGATATTAGTGTGTGTTATATGTTAACGCTGAAGTAATGAGCTATTTCGAATTATGAGCACATTATCGTTCGTGAAATGGAACTCCTAAGCCTTATAGGTTGAAATGGTTGAAAAAGCTATTGCATTACTGAAAAACAACAAAGCCTAATATTAAATGTTACTTAATTAATGAAAACCGTACGTTACACAACAACTAAGTCTAATCTAAACAATTATCAGTTTCACGAAGGAGAGCTTTATTTAATAACTAAGCCTAACCTCAATGACTGAGACAAGCAATAATGATTTTTTGTTAAGACGTCGTTATGTGACCAATTGATAATATCCATAACCAGAAGCAGCTTAAAGCAAGTTGAATTAATAAGCATTACTTATTAATATTTTAACTTGATATTGACGAATAAAGATCTCCAAAGTGATAAAATATTTTACTTCATGGTAAAAGAAGAACACTAAGAAAACTCTTTAGGTTCTTACTATCAGTTAATTTTCTTATATATTTTGAACTTTTAGAAATATTGGTAAATATTTCGCCACTTATTACTAATGGGCTTTTGATCTTCATCAGGAATCTGAAGCAATGGAAAAAATAAAGTGAGAAAAAACCCTCCAGACGAGAAAGGAAGGAACAAAAGAGATTTGTTAACGTAGTTTTATCTCACCAAAAGCTTGACAATACAAAGCACATAAATCTAAGAAGATATAGCAAAGATATTGTAACTATCGCTTTAATAAAACTGGCTGCTGGTATAATTATATTAATCAGGAAACACCTTCGTAGCTTAGTTATTTGTTGTTGTTTTTTAGAAATCTTAAAGCTAAATTAAATGCCTATAAAATTAAGATTTTTTGGAAGAAGTGAAAACTGAATTAAAAAGCAGAAGAATAAATTTGAATCCTGCTAGTTCTCAGCTTTTGCTTCTATATAAAAAGATTAGGTGTTCAACAAGTTCGACAACAATTCATATGGAGTTTTGTTTAAAAGAACTATAATTTTCAGAGTTAAAAGCAAATGTGTTGGTTAACATTTTCATAGAAAAAAATTATTCTTTCAATTTCACAGAAAAGTTCAGCACACTCGACAAGAGCACAATCTAGGGACTACCTCAACGCCACCTACTGGTCTACCTCAGCATCAACAGCTTTGCCCCCAGTGTCACGTGACGGTTTTAACAGCTGAAACCACATCACAGTGTGCGGACTGCAAGATAGCAGTCTGTCGGAAATGTGGGACGTCTCTGGCGGAAGGAGAGGGAAGGGTAGGAACTTACTTAGATAAAAGCTGATTTTAAAATATATTTTGTCCATCAATTAAAGAATTATTAAACTTTATCATAGCACACAGTGATAGACGAGAATGCTTGCGGTTTTTATTACATTACTGCAGACAATAGCTATTAAAACCACTTGCTGTGTGAATGATTCATAGCATACATTTACGCTGTTTTTTAAACAATCTAATATTCGAATTACAAGTTCCTGAAATAGAAAATAATCCATACCGGTTAGATATTGGGCTATCTGCTGTGTCGAATGCGGGGAATCGAACCCCGGATATTTTAGGCTATAGTTTAATTATTTTGTACTCAACTCCAATCCCTAGCTGAGATTAACCCTCCATATTACCACGCTTTATAGAAGTTCTAATACTGTGAATGCTATTATTGAGGAAACATTTTCAATTTCTTAACGTTGTATTTTTTAAGATAAATTTGAACTTTACTGAAGCTGACGATGAGTTTTCGTATATGTATGTGTTGAGGGAAGAAATGAAAACACAAGTCAAAAATTGACTAAGCGGATTGTTTGGACAGTCTTTTTCTCAAAACTGACAGTCTCAGTTTCAAGATAGTCGTAAGTGATGTAGCTTGTTTAAGCTTATATACAGCTCCATGAAAAATCGTTTTTTTTCTGCTTTATTTATAGAAAATGCATGTTAGTTTCCACTAAATTAACAAAACCCCACACATGTGAGATTATTAATTGTTTCGAGTTATATGTCTACTTACAATTAAAAAATAATAATAAAGAGAAGATTTGGAAAACAACGAAACAGATTTATTTGAAATTCATGTGGACACTTTTAGTATATTATTATTTGTTTGCTATTTGCAAAGGTATTTAGTTTGCAATACACTTTTTAGCTGTAAGCTCAAGGTCTCTGTTACATTCTTCCCTGTAAAGAAATACTCACAGCTGCACCTAATCATCTACTTTCATTTTACTTACATCTTTACTTAAATTGATGTTTCAGCTTCATCTAAACAAAAGTTCATGAAAACACATCCTGAGCTTCATGAAACACCTTTGTTTAAACAGAAACACTAAATTCCAGTAAAGCAGTTACGTTCAACTATATCTAAACAAATACCTAAGGTTCCATGTAAAACATACATAAACATTGCCATTTCAACTGTTGTATGTAAAAGGTATATCCTATCTCCATGCAATTTTAAACCTTCATGTCCATGTGAACTGATTCCTCCACTTCTATGTAAAACATAATTTCAGTTCACGCTAAGAAGTTTTGTGTTCCGTTTGTTTTGTATTTTTGCTCCAGGGGGTATTTTAACTTCAGACCTATTTTCGTTGTACTTCTTATGTCATAGCGAATTTCGAAAAGCTAATTGTAATTTACAACAGTGGCATTTAAAAGGGAAGACATTTCAAAATTGGTGCTTCTTAAATTAAATTAATTAGTAACATGTACATTTTTACTGTTTAACAGGTAAAACCTTTAAGTTCACAAAAGTGTATAGACTGAGTTTTTTGTCTTATGTTGAAAATATGGGATTGTTACGTACTTTGAAAAATTGTAAAATGTTTCTTTTTTTTTGCTGACATTTATTTATGTCTGGATTACTAAAAAATGTGTCATTCCATGGCATATAACAATATCCACTCCTATTTTATGCAAATATCTTAACACACTTTCCTTGATATATTTCTTATAAATTGACATAGCGACATTTTTAATGTAGAAAAGCGCGTTCAACATGGCTATACTTCACGAAATGTGATCAGAAAATAGTCAAACACTAACTGAGCCTAAAAAATACCGTAGAGACGGTGACAGGTTTAACTGCGCCAAATAAATGAATATGAATCGTGTCACGAAGAGGCTTTTAACGATATTGATGTAGAGCACGATACATTCAGTAACTGCTGAGCTGGATGATAACGTTGTTGAAATAACAAATTGATAACACACATGTTGAAAACACAACATTTTTGTTTCTTCTGTACGTGTACTTTGCTCATCGAATATAGGTAAATTGAAAGTCGGGAAAACACTTTGTTAAAGCCTCAACTCTCTACCAGTTATCAGACCAGAACGGAATAGTATATATAGTACAAGGAATAGGTGTATTTTTGATTTTCGGGATTTGAAATAATCTTATTCACTTTTGATACTAGGCGGAAAATAATTGGTAGCTAATCATAGGATGCCTGGTGTACAAACTTCACAATAATTGTTCATGCTTAACTATATTTTCGAGGTCGTAAATTGCGAAGAGACAACGCCTAATGCATTTCTTTAAGTTGTTCAAAGTTAGTTATGCAGATTCGAACATAAGTGATATTTGAGGACATCAGGGTATAGCTTTCAAAGGAAACAGTTTTAACTGAAACATTAAGATCACAGAGTTGGTTTCAGCAAAGGCTTTATTTTCAAACTATCATTCTTACCGACTGCTTTAGTAATTCTATATCAAGTTAAAAGTATGAACCAACGTCGATGCGTTTTATGAAACTTATAGGCGCGCTCGCAATACAGAGTTAAAACGATTTAATAATATACTTACAGTTTTAATATGTATAGTTTTGTTATCGTTTTAGCGCAAGGGTTACATAATGCCCTGCCTGCACTCTGCCCATTCCGGGGAATCCAACCCCAGATTTTATCGTTGTCAGTCCGTAACTTTACCTGGTGGTTAGATATAGTATGTAGAAGCCAATACATTTCTTTATTCAGGGGTCATCTACAACTTTAGATAAGTATAGTTAAAATATATTTAAGTTAGTGTAATTAGACATTAGGATACCAGGCTTTAACTGAACTGATCTCGTTTAATTGTTTTGACTCGAAGTAAAATGTTTCTTCCTACGCAGTCGATGTCTCTAATTTTATGTTTTGACAGACTAAAGTGGTGGAGAATAATTTCAAAATATTTAGTTGTTGAAATAATAGAAATTTTAATTATGGTAAAAATACTGCGCGTGAGCCTGTGTTTAGCGTGTTCGAACTGTGAATATGGGGGTTCAAAGTTTGAATCCCGTTTATGCAAAAATGCGCTACGCATTTGATGCTGTGCGTGCACTATAAGAGTGACGGTCATATCGCATTATTCGGTCAGAAAAAAAAATAGCCCAAGAGTGGGCAGTGGATGTTGTTAGCTGGTTGCCCCCATTAGTCTGTCATTTCAAAAATACGCACGACTTTACGCAAGTATCCATTGTGTAGCTTTACGTGGAAATTCTAAACCCAAGAATTGCATGCAATAACTGTGGAAACTCTGTATACTATTTCACACTATTTTTACTTCCATAAAAATGTTTTAACAGCGATTATGAATAAGACTTATCGTATCTGAAGCCTATTATATTTTTAGTGCAAAGCCAAATAGAGAGACGATCTATTTTCCAATTACTTTAGCAACAAGTACACAATATTTCATAGGTTAGATAAAGTTAAGCATGTTTAATGCTGATTTTTCGGTCGCTAATGAATACGCCACAGAAAGTATCATTAGCGTGTTTAGATTCCGTTGAGTATGGATAGCTTTCATTGAGGAGTGTTAGCTTCCATTAAGTAGGGTTAACTTTCAATAAGCAGGATTAGCATCCATTAAGTATGGTTGCTTTCATTAAGTAGGGTTGGCTTTCATTAAATAGGGTTAGCTTCCATTAAGTAGGGTTAGCTTCCATTAAGGAGGGTTAGCTTTCATTAAATAGGGTTAGCTTCCTTTAAGATTATTTATATAGACAATAAAGAGAGCTTTATAAGTAAGTATGAAGTCAGTTTAGTTTCTGAAAGGTCTTCTTATGAAAAGTATAAAGATTACTAACATATAAGAATTAAACTTAACATTTTTAAAGTCATAAAAATTGCTCATCATAGATATTTAAGATTTCTAATCATTACAAATATCATATCTTAAACATTTATCTTACGCTTCATTGTCATCTAGGTATGATATTGTAATTCATTTGAAACCTATGGAAGTGTTAGTTTTGTATTATTATCACAGACTTTAAGTATAACATGTTAAGCTAAGTAATAGTGAAGTGATAATGAAATCTGTTTCTATAAATACTTAACGTTCTTTGTAGTTATATAATTTTAAAATGAAGGATCTCCATTATATACGTGAAAGTAGAATTTATTTGTCATTATCTCATTTCATTATTGTCCCCTCCCGGTGGCTCAGCGGAAGATCTCACAGCTTACAATACTAAAAGTCAGGTTTCGATACCCGAGGTTGGAAGATCACAGATACCCTATTGTGCAGCTTAGTACTTATTAATAAACAAACATTTCATTATCAACACTTAGCTACTCAGGTGATTTTTTTTTTTTGTGGGATAACACAAATCAAAGATGTTCTTTTAAGAACATTTTTGATACGCGTGATGACAGAACACAAGTAGCCTATTATGTAGATTGCGCTTAACAACAACCAAAACAAACCTTTCAAGAAAAACATCTCATTAATTTAGATATTATATTATTTGATTTTTCGGTAATATATGAGGATACAGGAAATCTGACGTTATTACAAAATACGAAAATTAGTTATTAACAATAAATAAGTGTTTGACATCATATAAGTTCCCAAAAGGGTTAAAGAATCACCGAATTAAATCTTTTAAGCTTGAAAAAAGATGATAACTTAAACTTAAAAATAATATGTACGATTCTACTGTAATTAAAATATATTAGCGTTAAGAAGAAAAACGACTATGACGATTAGAGATATTTTAGAAAAAATCAATTAATAAGTATCCATACTTCCCCGCAGTGAAACAGAAAAACAAATAAGAGAAACAGAATATTTCTTTGCAATATACATATATGTGAAACATTATGTGCAAGAAAAATTACAATGGTGTTGTCGCATTGGATTTACATAATACAAATTACTAAACTTCACACAAGAGATCATGCTAACTTAATTCAGTGATGTTTTTAGGTTTGCTAACTGTTAATCAGAGCGTTGTTTTTGAGGAGTTTCACTTGAATAAACTATTAATAAAC